TTCTATGATTTACTTGCTTGTCTGATTTGTTTGCTATTTTTCTGAGGGTATTCTAACATATGAAACTAGTATTTACTGGGAGCCCTGACAGGCATCAAAACAGTCGGAATGCTTGGTCTGATGTAAAGTGTTATGAAACCCTATTTCCTGTTTCCTGTCTGGATAACTTATGATGCTAAGGTGAACATCCCTCCCACCACCACAACCACCTTATACGGCTAAGGTACACACATCACATCAGATTTGTCAGAGAGGGCTGCCAATTTGTATGAATTAATAGGTGATATTTATATGTATTAGTTATAAGAAACCCAGCATACTTTATGTATAGTTTTTGAGTCAAAAACAACAAGTAGTGTTTCTGTTGGCAGACCAGCAAACGCATGGAAGGCTAATTTTGGAGAATGATACATTTCCCCTCTCAGCTGTTTTTCAAGTTGTAGCTGAAATATTTAAGCGTGTACTGCTTTACAGAACCAGAATGTAGAAATAAAATGCCCAGGAGGGAAAATGGGACACTAGAGTTTCAGTATGAGAAAAATACTTATTTCACGGACTTGATTAAATGTGACTAAGAATGTTGTCACAGCTTCTTCGAGTTGACAACCGCTAATCACACAGCAAACTGCGAAACCTCTTCAGAGTGCAGTTCCACTACAAGTGAACTGAACTCCAGGCACATACCCCGTAGTAGTGCTCAGAACAGTAGTGTAATTCAGGTAACCTTTGCATTAAGTTAGAAAAGTAAATGACTGGAGGAGGGCACACAATGATTCCAAATTAATTAACAGGGATCTGAAAATCTAAATAATTCCTAGTTCATTAGTCAAAACATGACTTCACTTCTCTCGATGCTGTCATGACAATAAATAAATGTATAATGTAAAACTACAGTAAGTATACTAAAGTAGTATGTAGGTATCCGTACAGTACATTATGTAACCAAGACTACATAAAATGGTCATCGAATAATTGTAGGATCATATGGTAAATGGAGAACATGATTACAGCATGTAATGGAGAATTACGATGTGATTACGAACTACAATGCAATACATTTGCATGCACGTTTGAAATGGTTTCCAAAAAATCTTACATTAACAAAGTTGCATGTTATATAAATCTTTATAACACTGGCAAATCTTCAGTTTAAATACTCTTCTGTTTTAGTACAACTTATATGAAGGCCAGTACTGAGCTCTGCCACTTAATTCCATTCTTTGGCATGTCTGTTGCCCTAACTAACGTACAGTGGAAAGAGTATGGAGAATAGCATAAGAAACACACGTTAAGACAGGTTAACACAGACCTATGCTTTTGTACCTAAATTAAACTGGACAAGGTAAATACAGAATTTTTTTTATGATTTAAATCTAAAATATTTTAGTACTTCCTGGGTCCATACTTTATTACTAGAAGTAACAAAACGAAAATATATATATATTATTGGTGTATTTTCCAAATCAAGAATGATCTGGCTACTCCCCCATGCAATTTGCCAAAATAAAATGACTGACAAAATTACTGTTGCTTTCTTGTTACAATTCTGTCGACTTCATCAGCCCACCACAGTCATAACGGCTTTCCCACATCATGGCTCCAAACATCAGAACTCCCCTTTTTAAGTGCTACTGGATGACGGTGGTCAAAATAATCATAAAAAGTGGATTGGGTTTAATATTGCGTGACTTTTTGTTTTAATGCCTTTTAACCTCAATTCTGCCAGCTTAGCTTCATATAAATTTTGACAACGATTACTGCGTTCTCAATTTGATTTATATACTGCAGTGTTTTGTTAAAAAGCGCGTGTTTTTATATTTTCCTCGACAGGCGGCTTTTGTTGAACTCCCCAATCCTGCCTTACCCTGTGTTATTCAGCCCCAGATGTTCCATATCAAATCTGTGGTTGTGCCAGTAAAGTCTGGCAAAGCAAAAAAATATTGTGACTAATGGTCTTTATAAAAGTACTCCTTTTCCTCTTATTTCTGCAAATATTATTAGATGTTAATGGGTTCCACTCAATGTCAGGCCTTGGAGGCAGTGGAGTCAGGCTGCGGGTGTCCAGTGGATTATTCTTTAGAATAGCAGGCGCCTGGGCACCACATTACCTTCAGGCCAATGTCTGGGGCACTAACCTTTCCACTGTTGTTACAACATTTCCTGTTAATGTCTCTCCAATAATGACAGCTTTTGATTTTGAAATGCAAATCAGGTACAAGCCACCAATAATTGAAGCAAGTAACAGTATATATGATTAGAGGGGCCAACAGAGAACTAAAGCTCAGTCTCTTGTTTCTCCGACAGATAGCTGAGTTGCATTGCAGCAAGAGAGCATTTTCAGTTGGCCTAGAACAGAGTAATATTTCGCTGTTGTGTCGAAACAATATTCATGACACATGACTTAGGGTCTGAAAAAAATCTTGCAGAAAAGATACTTGGGACGAACTATTTAAAATCCCAATTTTATTTTAACTTAAGTTAATGTATTATCATATGACCTCTTTGAATGTGTATAACCCAATCAATTCAGGTATGCCACACTGGCTATAGTTAAACGACTATCATTCTTACCTAAGTCAGAGGCGTAATGGTAAATTGACGTTTTAAAATCTTGAGGATATCCATCCATCCATTTTCTTACTGCGTCTTCCTGTTAATGGTCACAGGGAATGCAGAGCCTATCCTGGCAAGCTACAGGCACAAGAAGGGATACACCCAGGTGGAACACCAGTCCGTCGCAGGACTGACACAGACACAAACACAAACTCAAACTCATGTCAGGGCCAGTTTAACCTGCTAGGATGTCTTTGGACTGTGGGAGGAAACCAGAGCACCCAGAAGAAATCCAGGTAAACACGGGGAGCATACTGTATACAGACTCCACGCAGATAGCAGATACTGTAGGTCTGGAATTGAACCCAGGGCCCCAGTGCTGCAAGGCAGCAATGTTAACCCCTGTGCCACCATGCTGCCAAGTTTATTTTATATTATGACATTTACAAAGCAGATAACAATCTTGATTTAATTTTAAACATAAACTATTACACCGCTGGCGGCTCTAAATTTTCAGTAATTGCCTGTGGCGGAAGACTCTACATTTTTATTCTTCTCTTCCATAAGTCCTTTAAAGACCCCACTGCACTGTAAGTAAGAGTAGGGGTGTCCTGGCTAAATGATAGGTTGGGCGTTCATGCTCTGTCTGCCCTAAATTTTCTTAATTGGTGAAGTAACTTCTCACCTCTTCAAGCCACAAAGTGCCACCCACAGGGATACTACAGTTCAGTAGTAGACGTTGCTCCCTTCCTACAGGTGTAGCATTTTGAAACCTTTTGGATGAAAAGAGCTATAGCTCCACAGGTTTTGATCATGAAATTCTTAATTCTCCAGAACCAGAGATGGAGACCCCTTAAGCATATATGTGTAAGATAGTACTATTATACTTGACAAAATTGCTGTCTACCAAGACTATTAAGATGCCCTAAATACTCAAAATAATTTGTTAAGGATGCCAAGCTAGTGCCAGACAATTTAAAATCACTCCTAACCGTCATAAAATGTGCCCTCCATTAAAGAAATCTAAATACACTGCACCTCTTTGAGGACAAAACGCAAAGAAACCCATCTGCCACACAAGGGCTATACAGTATATTGTATTTTCCTTCAGTTTTCTTGTAAGAAAGTAAAACTCTTAACTCCTATTTAAAAGGGATCCTTTCAGACCATCGTTCAATTTTCTGGTTCATTAGACAACAACTTTTATTAATAAATTGCTCATCTAGCTCCACTTACTGAGAACTTAAACTATTTATTTTGTCTTAATTTTGTTGATCCTTTCATGGTCTCTTGTCTCAGTTGCAGCCATCAATTAGCCTTTTGCCTCTGGCTGTCAGTTCATTGGCCTGGTGGTCAAGCAGGTGAGAGGTTAATAAAAGAATGAGCCCAACTCCAAACAGCGTGAAGTCTGCTGGGAGTCTTGGAATTTTCAAGAGTGGTATTGAACTGTGTTTGCAGTAAGGCATACCAGTGCATATGGTTAAAGCAAGTACTGAACAAAAATCTGATTATAATTATATAATGTGATCATTAATTACAAATTTAAAAGATTAAAGTGAAATTTATGTAAGCAATGTTGTCAGCATTTTACCTGGAATGTGGCCTTCCTATGTCAGAACAACAATAAACTGACTAAAAGTGAATAAAAAACTAATATATTGCTAAAGAAATAAAATACATATTCATACTCTTGTGGTTTCATTTTAAATATCTCCATTCCCTATTGATATCATTGCTTTGCTACGCATTGAAAGCATAATACCCCCAAGAAAATATCTGCAGAAAATACTTATGAAAAACACCTACAATATATTTTTCTCCTTGTCTTCCTTTACATTACATATAGATCTGACTTTTTAACTACTCGTATTGCTTTGAGATTAGAAGAAAACGTTATGTACATTACCACATAGAAAAATGATCTGATTGCTAAAGACTAAATATTTCCTGAAAACCATGATTACGCATTCATAATGATATGGGTAGCTCTCAGTGAAATTATCCTCGTCTTCTAAAACTAAATAATTTACCATTATTTTACCATTATGTTTTCCTATTACACTCCCACAATCCTGATTGCATTTCCCACAATACAACATGAAATTGCTCAACTTTTTAAAAACTGTAGGACACTAATTTATAATTATATATTGAGGAGTAGTACCAAAGTATTGAATAATTACACAGGGATCTGATGCTACGCGTTGCCCATGGCAACAGCAAAAAAAACCACACGCGTTCCTTGCTTTATAGGTGGCCATATTACTCGCCTAAAATACACTCCATGAAGTAACTTTTTATTACAAATATCCTAAGTTACTGTAAGAAATACATTTTAAACAATTAAAAAGGGATAACACGATAATTGAGTCAAGCAAAACATTTAATGTATATGACAGTCCGAGTAAGGCTTTTTAGAAGACACCAATAGAGGTCCTAGTTTGGGCCCTGACGTGGCAGCTGCTCAAAAATGGCAGTTTAGCAATGCGGAATTGGAATGATGATATTTTGAGAAATGTTTGTGAATCGCTTGAAAGTTTTAGGTTTAAAATTGAAAATAAAGAGACTGGGTAAGATATTTATGTGAACGTGTGAGGATATGGCTGGGTGGGCAGGCTTCTCGGATGAAGAGCTTCGGAGATTGCAGCAGAAAGGTAAGTATATCATTTTATGTCTTGTAGAACGAATTGTGCTTTACAGGGTTATTTATCATTTTACCTCATGCAGACTATTTTCTAGTCTAATACGTTTAAAACCAATGTGGAGTGCATTGTTTGCAGCAGGTAACGTGTCTGTGACTCATTGACTATATTCTATCTGAATATAGTATAATTTAGTGATAATATTTTGGTCCCCGTCACAGAAAAATGAGAACTGTAGTGTCTTTATATTCATCTTTACGATGAACTGCCTAGTAACTTATTTTTTTCTTGCATGTGTAAAATGGCTCTGCCATTCAGAATGAAAAACAAAGCCTAAAACTGAGCCACATACATCTCTACTTCCTGAAAGTAACCTTAAAGGTAAACGATAGCGATGGCAACGAGAGGGTCATACACGTGGCATATTGAAACTGGAGCAGGCACCTGCCTTGTTTTGGTTTGGAATGCTCAAAAGCCGTCTTACCTGCAGATCAGGCTGCCCAGAACACCTCCGGTCGGGGCCGAAGACATCCTCCAACCAACCGGAGCCGTCAGCAGCTCCAGCGAGAGAAAGCGCTGCAGCTGGCGGCTCAGCAGGATGGCTCCGGTTCTCTGCCACTCGAACAGCAGCTTACCAGACCCAAAGTGCAAGCGCCCGTCCCGGCTGCTTCAACACCCCAGGAGAAAGCGGTCCTTCAAAGACCGAGGAGTATGAAGAGTGAGCAGGAAGCACTGAGTGAACAGACTATACCAACCACAGAGGCTTCTCCCCTTGCCAAGGAACTAGAGAGGCAGGAGGTGGAATTGTTAGTAAGTCTATGATATTTCAGGTGTGAGAGAAATGCAGGTGTTTCTCAGAACTTTAAATCATTTGGTATTCTGAATTATATCTTCAGAATATATCATTATATGTATTATATTCACAAATGGATCTGAGTCTTACAAGGAACATGTAAAACAAAGGACAGGATCTAACATGTATTTTTAGTTAAAAATGTGTGACACTTTGAATAAATGACAGCAAGGGGGTGATGATGTTACGTGAAACATACCTACCAATAAGTCCAATGGTTGTATGGAAACATTTAGCTTATAATTATTTTGTCAAGGTATTTTCTGTGAAGGTTTATCGATGGGTCTCCATTGTTGTTGGCTCCAGTTCTTTTCTGCATTGTATTGTAAAGTTGTTGTTAATTCCTAACTTTGACCAGGCCTTGTCTTAATTCTAGGAGAGAGAAGTCCCGCCTAGAGCAACTTCAGCAGGAACAGCGTCTGATGGAAGAGAAGAATAAACGTAAAAAAGCTCTTCTAGCAAAGGCCATCGCTGAAAAGTAAGAGCAGCAGCAGTTGGTGTCACATTTTATGTTTATGTGAACGCAAGATTATTTTCCTGCTTTGTTTTAAAATACACTTGGCAGCATGATAGCACAGTATTTAACACTGCTGCCTTGTGGCACTGAGCCTGTGGGTTCAATTCCAGACATTGAGGTGCTATCTGTGTGGAGTTTGTATGTTCTTGTATGAGTGGGGCTTCTTATAGGTGCTCTGGTTTGCTTCCACAGTTCGCTTCTGGGAAAACTCGCTCTAGTTGTGAGTAGTTCAAGTAGGGAGCTGCGTCAGGATGCGTAGGCTGCAAAGGAACAAGAAACAAGTTTATTCTACGCTGAAGAAAAAAAGAAAGGAAACGCATTGTTTCAACTGTGGAGCCTTCTTCACAATTGAAGAAGGTTCCACAGCCGAAATGTTGTTTCCTTTTTTTTCTTTTCAGCGTGGAATACACCCCGTTACCTGTTCCTTATGGTTGTGAGTGTGTGTTTGTGTCTTCCCAGCTATACCTCACCTTGTGCCCATTGCTTAATAAGATGGGATAGGAGTGCCAAAACGGTGCTCAGGTTCTTAATTCATTAGGGTGAATGTGCTATTTTTTTGTGCTTATCGCGTTTAAGTTAAAATGGGAACCAAATGCTGTGCTTTATTCACCTGGTTTAAGGTCCAAGCGTACCCAGGCTGAAACTGTGAAACTGAAACGAATCCAGAAAGAGCTGCAAGCCCTGGATGACATGGTGTCAAATGACATCGGTATTCTGCGTAGCCGCATAGAACAGGCTAGTTGGGATTATTCCATTGCTCGGTAAGTAAAGCATGCTCACGGTACATTGGATTATTTTGTTTTTGAAAGATTGAAAACTGTTCTCGCTTATTGGTTAACTCAGTATATGGCATTCCTTTCTGTCTCTGTAATGTGTAGCATTGAAACATACTGTAGGATAACCTGAAGTTTGTTTTGGAGAACTTTAATGATTTTCATCTTGGCCTGTTGTATTTCTTTCTATACATATGCTTTGCTTAAAAAAGACTGAATGTTTCAAGAAAATATGCAGACGTGTTTCTGCAAACAAAGATCCAGAGTTGCAAAACATACCAAAAACAAGTCATTGTTTGAAATTGTACAGTTTCATTGTCTCCTGAGCTGGTTCTCTTAAAATTAATACTGCCCCCTGCAGGATTTTTCTAGTGTACATTTTCTGTAACCCCAACGACATGTTTTATGTGGTTATGATTTTTTTTTTTTATTTGAATCAGATGAACTTTGGAAAAATTGTAATTAAGTTATAACTCAGTTTGCAGAAAAGATCTGACTTTCATACAGAGCAAAGGCATTTTTAAAAAAAAATAAGTCTTGTCTTGCTGTCAGAAAGCGGTTTGAAAAAGCTGAGGCCGAGTACATCGCAGCGAAGCTGGACCTGCACAAGAAGACGGACATAAAGGAGCAGCTGACGGAGCATTTGTACACCATCATCCAGCAGAACGAGCAGCGCAAGGCCGGGAAACTGGAGGAGCTGATGAAGCAGCTGGAGCTGGAAGCGGATGAGGAGAGGCTGGAGCTGGAGATCGAAGTGGAGAGGATGCTGCAGCAGCAGGAGGATGAAGCACGGAGGGCACCATCAGCCAAGCAGCAGGAAGAGACTGGGAGTGCCGACAGCAAAGGACAGGACCCCGCCGATCAACAGAGTCAAAAGGACGGTCCCCCCCCTGAATCAGGGAAAGAGAAGCTCGCTGAAGACCCTAGATCACAGAACATCAACTCGCATTGTGAAGCTGTAGTCAATGAAGTACCTATCTCTGCGTCATGAGGTGTCAAGCCTGAGGCTTTGCTTCATTGTTTTATACTTAATTTAAAAACCATGGTTGTCGGGGAAACAAATTGAAACAGGCCTGCAAAAGTATAATTGAGTACATATTATTTAAGTAAGGAGTATGTAAGAATGTATCTATGTTATTAACTGTGATGTAGATGTGTTGTCATAGGAATCCCGTCATGAACAAAGTATTTCCTCTGTAATGTGCTGTGATAATGGAAAGTATAACTTTCATTTTGGAACACGGAATTGTAACACATTTGTTACTATTTAGCAATATACAACTCCAAACAAATAACTTCTAGTTATGATGTTCATATTATCACAGCTCTGAAAGGACTAGATCGCTAGATAAATTCTGGTGTGTACCATTGTAGACAAGGGCTTCATGTGGAATTTTGTGTATTTAAGCAAAAGTGCATGCAGTGGAAAAACAAAGCTCTGCTTTGATTTAGTTTGATTTCTTTTAATCGCCCCTTCTTAACTGTAATTTCTGGTGCCGTCTATACCCAAAACAGACTCTTGTAAAGGTGCATGTCACTTGGTATTGCTAAATACTTCACTACAGAGCAGTGTGTTCCCCATGTTGAATATTTGAGGTTAGTTTGCATTTCAATTTTTAACCTCGTCTGGAACACTTAAAGTAACAGAAAAGAGTAGGTTTTTTATAATGTGTAGATGGACTGGTTTCTGATACCTGTTCAGAGAATGTGCTTCTATTTAAAGCCATTATAGTAAATTAATGCTTTAGTTTGGGGGGCCTATCTTTGAGAGATGTGGCAAAAAATTGTGGATTGATGTACCAAAGTGGCCTTTGTACTTATTCTGTAAATGAACATTCTCGAATCAGTGCCCTGTAACACAATAGTTTTCTGTGGCACAGATGTATACAATGCGTCTTGGACCACCATGTGCTACTTACTCATTCTTTACTCTCCTTTACCCGTGGAAGTCTAACGTAATAAAACAATAGTATGCACACCTTAAATTGATGATGAAGCATACCATGTGTATGAAAGTATGTACAGTATATCAAATTAGGTAATGAAATGGCTGGTACTGTTTAGTTGACTACAGGTTGGAGTGGTGGCAGTTTTAGCTGTAAATCATCACATTCTTCTTTACCGCATACCAGCAACAAGCCAAGGACCACAGTTTTGGCACCGCCGATGTACACAACTGAATGTTGTATGCTGTTCTTCCATGCAAGAGCTTGTATATTTAAGAGAAAATGTGCACAATTTTGTAGAACCTAGAATACATTTTTTTACATACTGTGCATGCTGTGGTTTCTTTTGTTGGGGCTGGAGTTAACGCAAAAAGTGAGTTTCAACATTTGTAACTCACTGAACCTCAAAAAAGCATAATACTTTCTAGTATGGGTCATGTGCAACTGATAATTGTGCTTGTGACAAAGGTGTTTTTTCCTCATGTTTCTAGACATTCATGTAAAGGAATATTGTCCAGTTGTATATTCTTTTTTGTGTTGCATACAGATGTCTAGGTCTACTGTAATGTGTGAATGTACAATTACATTTGTTTACATCAATGTGCAACAATAACTATGCATATTATTGCAATTGTTTTAAATATTGCTTTTAACACTAAATTGTAAAATGTATGTATTCCTGCCAAATTATGGCTCTCACACCAGCATTTCTTGAAGAGTTTTGCAAATCCAAAGTCATTGTATTTAGTAAGTTCACTGTTTCTTTCAGGACTTCATTGTGTGAAGATATTTCTTGGCTTTTGTAGTTACTGGTAATTCCTTGTTTGAGCAGGGTAAGTGTATAAATCTGTCTCAATTCATAATGACATGTAATGAAAGGATATAAACCAGGTCCTGACAGGCCAACCTGATGTTTTCCATTCATACAATTCCATTTATTTTTTCTGTTTTCTTTAATTGCTTTTTAATAGAAGTATAACCAGAGTATGGATAAACCATGTAAAGGTGACTTATTTTCACAGCTTTAACAAGAGATGTGTGCATCTACATATGAAAATTGTAAATACTGAAAAGTACTTGATGAATGGATTTATTCATAGAATGGTTAAACCAAGTATTAGTATGATAACTCTGCTTGTCCATTTTAAGAATGCATACCCTTACTCGTATGCATACTACCTGTAGATGGCTTCTTTATAGAACACCATACAGTTCTAGGGCATTATATGGTATTGTGCATAGAATGAGATAGATTTCTAAAGACACTATTATTTAAAATGACCCTTCCAGGAGGTTGACTGTTGTATAGTAATAGTTAATGTACTGTATACAGAAATAAAATCTTCTGTTTTGTCCAAGTTGCATGACTCGGTACCATCATTTCATTCTTCAGAATGTTGCAGTGAAGGTCTCCTATGGACAGCTGTACTTTTTGTCATGAAAGAGGCATTGCAATCAAGATGTAAAGGGACTGCATTTTTATTTTTTGTACAACCGTTCATTGTATTTTTAGTATAGTAGACGTGTCTGCTGAAGGCCTTTCAGCTCATGTTATGCGTTTCAGTTTTTGTTTTGTTTTTTGAAGGGTTTTGTGAAAATGTTTGTAATGCCAAATCGACTCTTACTGAATTCATCCAGCTATTTTGATGTAAAGAAAATGAGTTGGGCAACTGATTTGGCAAATGATTATGAAGCTGGAGTGTTCTAAATGGTACCAACCATCACACATTTAACTTTTTTGTTAAATATTATTGGGACTTCATTGCCAATAAATCTTGTGTGGGATTTACCACTTTTTAGAAACCTCTTTAGAAAGAACGAACAATTTGAATGTTAAACGCATGTGCACTGAGCATTTTATTTTATTGTTCGTGATAATATCATACCTTGACAGCATATTTTGTTGTTGTTATATCAGTATTCCTCTAAGATGACAACATATTCAGATTCTGTAAAGTCTGTTAAGAAGCCTTTAATGCGTAAACAATGTTAGAAAAGTTCACGGAACAGTTTTTGCTCCGACAGGTAGATGTCAGATACTATTTGTCAGACTTTGTGAATGAGAGCCGCCGCTTTTTTAAACCAGGAATTTCCCATGCAAATTTAATAACCTAATTCCAAAACAATAACCATCAGCGGTCAACACAGAAATTGGGGAGATTAACAGCTTGATTGTAATGACTTGAATGTTCCTGGCTATAATAGAAACCATACGCAGCGTGGAGAGCGGTTGCATAGCTATAGCATAAATTAGGTATAAAGGTATACGATTTTGTCAAATGTAGGACTTCAGAGAACGGCTTTCCCCTCGCTTGCTGATTTATGTGGAGCCAGTCTCTCCAGACAGGTTGGAAAAGGCTCTGTAATCCGAGAAGTGAAAAGATGGTGAGATCAACTTTTACTGAAACTTCGTGCCTCGGGCCATGCATTACTTATACATTTTTGACCTTGACACGCTGTGTATACCAAGTGAATTATATTAATTGGATTAACATAAATCATTAATAATTAGGCTGATTATTAACGTTTGGGATTTTAAAGGGGACACTATAGACTTTCTTAAGTGTTCTTTTGACTTGGCACCACGCCTTCTCGAAGCGAAGTACATTATGCGATTGTTAATGTATGACATAGTATCTAGAAGATAGAGCATTCCGCCTGAACTTGGATAAAATTGTGTATTTCAATACGTCTGACTTTTAACATTCTCCCACACTGTTCAGGCTCAAACCTTTTACATTTATAAGCCTCTATTTATCTGCAAGATGAAGACCGGCAGGAAAATGTACCGTCGTATATCCATGTTTCAATTATTAATCAGGTCTTTTTGAATCGGTCAACGCTGAGCTGACGACACGCACCACTATTGTCCTATGATTGATTTAATATCCCAAATGAAACAAAATTGAACAGACTGAATTTTTTTAGTCTTAATGCAAATCCAAATATGAACTTGAATTTTAGTTAAGGCCATGCTAAACTTAAGTAAAAAGTACGTTGTTTCCTTTTATGTTCAGGATACAAATATGTGGGGCGAAAGATGTATCATCTTACATATTTACGTTATAAAAATTCCTTTAACAGGAACACACACTTAAACTACCATAGAAACAAGACCTCTTTGAGTCCTACCACCGCGAAAGAGTCTAACCAATAGGGTCGTGACCGTGAATTAAGACTTTTAGAAAATTAGTGTGCACAGTGGTTGTAATTTAATGAGCTGTACTTAAGAATTATTAGTGACAAATTCGGTCGTTCTTCACTAGCGGTTAGATCACTCGTAAATAGTGTTGAGCTACTGTATTATGAGGAAAACAACCACTTTCTAAATTATTCGTTTTAATGCATATACATTACATTATACTGTATATATTTCATTACAAAAGGTAACACAGTCGAAGGGCCTGTGAATTTAACCAAACACTGTCTCGCCTCCATCACTCAAAAATGATTACTTTGAAAATCACTCCATTAAATGATTAAGATTTATACACATAAAAATGGCAGAATTATGGGGTACGATGAATCCGACTATTCCAAATGTATAAAAGGCCTCCGAATGGAAATACGATAGTAAAATCGAATGATTAAATCCAAAAGGTTTACATTTTTAAAAACAATCGGAAAGAAGCGTTGCGCTGGTACGACAGAGGCCACGACTAAAATGACGTTCACCACGCTCGAGCAGTTAAACTGCCAAAAAAAATCTCGAATCGTAAAAGAAACATGCGGTAGACTATATATTCAGCGTGAAGGTTAAACGTAAGGTTTAAATAATTGTGTGTTTTTTTTGTAAATGCAGTATTTCATTGCAGGATTCATTTTTCGGTCTGTTAAACCGTTTATAGTGGAAGATGGTCGCTGTAGATATTCTTTTTAAGAAGCTGTTTGATTTCCAATTATAACTATATGTTGGTATTATTGTCATCCTCACGACATACACTTTCACGTCCTGGTAATGTAACTGTCGTTTTAAATTTCAGGTTACCATATAGTGACACTTAAATATAAGTGTGTCAATGTAAAATATATATATATATTTTTGCACTGTTCGTGTTTTTTTTTTCCGAATTAGAATTTAAAGCTGTTCGGGTAACTGGGGGATGTGCGTGCTGTGTTGCTGCCGAAAATGATATTTCCGAAATGACTTCTATTAATGATGTTACATTTTTCGTCGTGCCTTGATATTATTTCGTGCACTTTCACGATATTTGTTTATCGTTTTGTCGATTATTAAAAACGGTCATGTTCTAATCACTACTTAATATTATTTTAACTCGCTAGTCTTACTTTAAACCTTATTTAATTATCTGAATTAATATCATTCTTGTATCAATCCGCTGGGATCTTAAACCCATCGCTGTTTTTAATAATATGGAAAAAATGGAACCATTTTTACAATATTTTGCAATATACATTTAAATGAAATATTTCATTGTGAAAACTAAGTTGGTAATTTCTTTATCTGTAAAGAGTAACATCGGTGTGAATTTGCCTGACTCAGCTGTAATGTTTGGCTTTAGGTTGAAGAAAAAGTGGACATTCTGTCCCTCGAGGCAGAGTCGAATACGAAAGAACGTCACTCTCAAACTTAAAAATTGCTTAGTTTCTATAGTTAGATATTTCTCAGACTTTTGTGACTTGTCTATTTTATTCATCAATAAACGTTTTACAAAATTACCAACCCATTTCTGTGTGGTATGACACCCCCCCCACACACACACAAGTTTCAGGCGAATCAGTGCTGTCCAGTGACCCCTGGTGCTGATTAAAACAGCGCTCTGACCTCAGTCAGATTTTATTTCTGTAATGAGGATTAAATAGCTCTGTCTGTGCTTTCAGACTCTGTTTACTTGTTTATATACTCCGAACAGAAAAAAAAAATATGCAATTGATTTCTTTAATTAGTCCGACCAAGGAATTTCTGTGCATAGTTTACCGGAGTTTAAAAATGTATGATTTTGATAGGCCTTATGTAGATCTATTTACAGTACTGTATATTTCTCTCTCACGTTCTCACTCAGACACACATATACTCAAAACCTTCATTGAAATAAACTAGCAGGCAGACACCTTTGTAGTAAAATAAACACACTGCGTTCACAAAAACACCGTTGTTTTGTTAATGGTTGATATTAGGGACAAATTCTGTTGCCCGTGTTTTAACGACATTCTTTTATTATTTTGTTCAGTTTTGCGTGTATTTAGTTAAAAGTCATTTGTTCTACAGAGCCAGACTTCAAAAGTGTCGAATTCAACAATATCGTGCAGGAATAGTGAGCATAATAAGCTTTTATCACGGTAACTGCTGTATTTAGAAATAGTTTAAATAGACACAAACATCACCACTAATTATCTTAAAAGCCATTCTGTTGGACTTCGGAAATACTGGTCTCTTATACAACTCGACAAAAATTCAACGAATAGCTGGTAAATTGAAATTTGCCCATACTTAGCGTTGCTTAGGTACTATACTATTCCATTAAACTAATACAATGTATTCTCTGTCTCACGTCTCTCTTTTTCCTTATATCATTTCAGTTGAACTACGATAGGCTGCTAAACTCGAATAAAGCCTGCTTACAATACAGCTGCCTGTATTAATCTCTCTGTGTTCAACACTGTCTTCTGAACATTAATTACAATCTGCTTGTGGTGTCCCACATGAGATCAATCCGCTGTGAACTTAATGACACAGCCTGCACAGTTTACAAAGTTCGATAGATATGAGATTGATTTATCCTTATTCTGATCTGAAATGCCAACAAATTTGTGTCGCGACTGGTTTATCTGCATTAAAAAACGCGCCCTCTTAGTTTTAGAAAACGAGGGGTAGATGTTTTTTTTTTAATCTCAGACACCTCGCATGTAATAGAAGAGCCAATATTTAAATGCTATCAAGAGGGTGGAGGTTTTGTAATAGCTATATATCCTTTGGTCTAGAATAGTTTTAGGAGCAAGATGATACTGTCTTTCTGCCTTGTCTACTTAAGCACACATTGCCCCAAAAGGTAAATTAAGAGACTTTTAGTTCCATGTCTTTGTGAGCGCAACAGTTCAGACTCCATTAGTATAGGCACCTGAATTTTCGGTTCTCACCCTTTGAGGAAAGTACCGACTTGAACAGTCGATAAACGTTTATTTGATAGCTATTATTGAAACAAATATGCTCAAATCCAATGCACTTACGTGCCGAATACAGTATTCCCTTTTCGTTGCCTTGAGGAGATGGTTTTCTTGAATGTGTTTAGTCAGCAGCTTTTTAAATAATAAACTTAAGATTTGCTTTGTCACGGGGGGAAAATCGTGTTATTTTAGACCTCTTTAGACGTTTCTTACAAATAAAAAAATGGAAAAATATCTCTCCTTGATTTAATCAATACCTTAAATTATTCTCTTACATGTTTTCTCGAATCCGACAATCATGTGATGACAGCACAATATCCAGAAAATAATACTCGTTTACTTATTGCAACTGATCTTACCATGGAGGACATAGAGTATTGCATTAACTGCGCAGTTGTTTTTTATTTTACCTCTGATTCTTTCAATACGGAAAATAAAGGAGCTCTTCAGATTACTGCGATATATTGCAAGATGAAATATCATGGCACCAAACAAAAGCATTTCAATTAAGTGTTTCCTTTGATAACTGCTGATTTGTGTTTATAAAGCCGCATTAATATTTTCAGGAGTTTGAGTAAAACAATATGATATCTACAACACGCTGAAATATGTAATATATGTAGTGAAATAGCACCAAGGCATTATTTATTGGTATTTATTTATTGAGTCCGTAGCTCGCATAACCTGCTTTTTGGTGACACTCGCTAAAGCTTGTTCAAATTTAAAAGGTTCGTAAAGGTTTAAGAGAATGCATTTATTTGAGAAATGTATATCATCGCTGTATAATAAACGTTTTATGAGCCTTGTGTTTTGGAGTAAAAGTTAATAGCTCAAAGTAACATGCAAATAAAGGTTAGGTCACGTGTTCCAAGCCAAGCGTCCATACACCTGTGCGTATATTCGATCAGTCAAAACAGTTTTCAGAGATTTCTTTTTAATATATTGGTCTCATAAATTCGTATTATTGGTTCTTTTCTAAAGGTGACATTAGGAAAGCATAATTAGTCTTGTATCCCCCTAAAAGGCCGAAATACAGCCTTTATGAAAGTGTAATTTAGTGGTAAAAAAAATAATTCTTAATTAAGGAAAGCGGATAATAAATGATGCTCTCCACACTTAAAGATTCATTAAAAATATCATCTCCAACACAATATTCCTCTTTTGGAAACATGGTGAAGAGTATTCCGCAGTGTCATTCTTACTTCCTAATTCCTTAATTTCTAAGTTAAATTAGAACAATCCATAAAAATTCATCTTATAACTGGCTGTTTTAACCAGTTCATCAGGAATCACTCTTCCGCTGTTTTGTACATTTAGATATACCTTTATCGCATTTGTCTAATCTTTAAAAAAAAAACATTTATCATGTCAGAGTGGCAAACTAAGTTTCTCCTTTATTTTGTCAGTCATTGGTGTGTGGTGTATTTTCAGATAGGTGGATATTTTGCGACTAACTTTGTGCAGTACTCGAGTCAAACCTCCTGAAAGAACGTCACCTAAAACAAAGAGATGTTTCTTGAGGATTTCTGAAAATCACTGAAGGAAACAGTTACTTTCATAGTACAAGGAGTTTCGCAGATTTTACCAGGAATAATCGCTGATAACTGCATTAATCAGAATAAAGTCACGTCTACATTTGTATGACTAACAAACGAAGAAGCATTTTTCTTTCAACCCTGGTATAAAGTGCCGAAGATTTTTTTTTACCGGAAGGTGGAATGAATATAATAACCGAAGATAATACAAGCTCGCATTATCTTATAGAATGGCAAGTGTTTCATTACGCAAATTATCACCCGTTGTCAAACTGAAAATTGAGCTCATCTTTTTATGCTGCCGAAGGAAGTGAAATGTCATGGTTATAGAGAAAGAAGAAGAAAACCAATTAAACGTTTGATGCCATTTTATTTTTTAAAAAATATTTTTTTTGAGAGACAATATCAGGACTGTGGACAGAAGGGCCCTATTGCGCTACACGTTCGCGATAAGGGTTTTCAAAACCGAGTTGGCAAAGTTATCGTACAGTTTCGGACGTGTATGAAATTAAAAAGGGAAAGCAAATTCAAGATTTAAATAAATCATATCCCACAGAAAAGATTACAAATGTTCCAATCTAATTGCAGATACGTTAAAATCTTAATGTTATTGTATAACGTAGTCATTATTTAAATTCCAACTTTCTTCTTTGTGTTGAGACTTCTCCTCAGATATCATAAAAATGCACTATAGCAGGCCTTTAAATTATGAGTTTGCCTGCCTAAGCCGCAAAGTTAAATCATACAGTAGTTCTGTCAGCCTTTCATTTAAACACATGGCTGTTTATATGTGTAGGTTTAAGTAACTTTGTGGTACATAAACACGATGAACTGAAAAATATTCACCCTAATTGCAATTTTCACAGCAAGGTTCTGTTCTAGAAAAAACAAAACTGTTTTATTGCAAGATAAACAAATTAATATCGGAGATATCCTTAACTTATGATTTTCTCCATTTAAGGCTCAATTTGGGTTTTGGTTTTTCTGAAAACCTTCAATAGAACCTGCAAATAGCAGGTTTGGTTAGCGAAAGATTGATTTTATCATCCCTTATGTTAACTTGTTTTTTTTTTACTTAAACCTATTCACTAGACAGCACGGATCCGTGACTTAAATTCGACTATGTGTCGCATTTTCTTCCTTCAAACGTGTTTAACGGGGAAGCTAAAATAAACATCCCCGTTCCTTGAAAGGTACAATTAAAAAGTTCAGGCCAAAAGCTAGTTAATAAACTTCCTGCAGAGTTATTTGACGTTTCCTTCCTTGTCTTTTGGGCAAACGCGAAAAAGAAAGAAAACTTTCTCCGAACACATGGTAACAGGGTTTTGAATTGGGGCAGACTTGTAGATGAAAAAGACAGACGTATTGTACTGGCACCAACATGGGTGCTTAGGCTGAGAGGGGAAAGGAGATCTGGAGGAAAACTAATGATGAAAAAAAGTCTACTCCATCCCACCGCCTTAATTAAATGCATGGAAAGAACGAGAGAGGCACATCTGGTTTCAATCTGCATCTCTTTGATGGCATCAAGTGTTCTTTTCCCAGATCAGGGGCTGGAAGCTATAGGCTGTCTGTGGCAGCTCCGAGCTCAGTCTCCTGCCATTTGAACACATGGACCCCTTTTCTCTCCGTATGTCAAGACCCTCAAGTCAAAGCGCACGCAATCCTTGACTTTCAAGAGATTCTTTCACCTCTATCTTGGACATACGACACGATACGCACGAAGGCGGGCCATTTCGATTGGCAGGAAAGCAGGTTCTCTGATTAAAATGCGGAGAAAGGGTGCGAGCGTACAGTATAACATACATGGAAATTATGCCGTCCAATTTTCTTTTACGCACGCGATGAGTATAAAAAAAAGCAAAAAAAAAAAGTTTTTTACCCCTTTAGTGGGTTAATAGAATCGCGTCGAAGGCAGTTTGCATAGTGACCACATTCCCTCCCCCCCATTATTACAATAGCAGTGCTTTTCGAATTATGAATGTCAGAATCCCGTACTAACTAGTACGGAATATTCTATTGTACTGCAAATCTTAGTAGTTGAATTCAAGAGCCTCCCAAAAAAACAACAACAACATATTTCTTTTCCTCTTCTATTTCGGTGCCGATCGAATCGAAGCTGTAGTGTACTGTGTTCTGCTCTAGCCTGAAGCGGAGAACTGTAGAAACAGCAGGAAAGGAGAAAGTTGATTGAATTGGAAGTAGAATCCACCCAAAGTCTCACTGCAGCACTTTATCAAAACATGCAAATGAGATTTTTCGACTAGGATCTAAAACAAATCACGAGTTGTTAATTCCGTATGCAAATGATCATCGTGTTTGAAGTGGACGTAGTATCCTAGCTGTCAGATTATCTTTGTTATATTTTAGTGCGAGATGGTAATAAGGTCTCCCTTACGAAATTCAGGGGCTCCTTGCCCGCCTCAGATGTTTGCCAAGGATTCCTTAAGGTCCATAATCAGGGTGTTTTAGTGGTGATGGTGCGGCGTGTTGTGCAAGGGGAGGGGTGTCTTGTGATGGAGAGAGGGGGTCTGTAAAACGTCAGAAAGAGCACAAAGGCATTGCCACGTAATTACAGACTCCTATTAGGTCGATCTACCCTCCCAGGGGTCTCAAATTTTCATTTATTCCCCGTTCAGGCTCCCCCGGCATGCCAGTCTGCGCCTTTTGAAGTGCCAGAGAGCTCCTTGATCCAACCGAAAGAAGAACTCGCTCCAAAACGCAGCAGTACAGAGAGAGCCTTCTCCCATAAAGAGTGAACCGAGAAAGCTTACTCACATGTACATCTGTTAGACATCATCTTTTCTGTAGCCTTTAGTCATTCATGCTTTCGAGTCAACAGGAGTGAGCAGAAGAACTTCCCCGAAGATGTTTTAAGATCCCGGGGCGAGGCGTTTCTTACCGAGTGGCGTGTGAGTGAGTGTACGGGAGATCGCTTGTGTGGACAGGGCACTGAAGGCAAGAGCTCTCTTGTTTACCAAACTGCAAAAAAACACTCGCGTTGGGTCTGTGTTTCTACCCCTCGTGATCTGCAAGTTCAAGAAAACGCCGAGAGCATTTCAAAGCGCCATTCCATCTGGATCTGTACAACTTTGAGCTCTTGAGTGTTTTATTAAGAAACGAAACGGACTGATTGCTTGTTTTGGAGGTGCAGCTGGTGCTTTTTGTACGTGAGGAATTAATTTTGGGGGCTCGTCTTATTATTACTTCAGTATTCTGTTTGCGTCATGACTTCTAGTTATGCACATGTAATGGACAGACAAGCTTCGATATCTAGCCGCTTGGAGAGTCCGATTACGGCTAATCTGGAAAACCTACAGGCTAAAAAGAACTTCTCAGTGAGTCACCTGTTGGACCTGGAGGAGGCAGGGGAGATGGTAGGCACACAATCGGAGGAGAGTGCCGGAGAAGCTGGCAGGAGTATGCTTGAGTCTCCGGGGCTGACGAGCGGGAGCGACACCACGCAGCAGGAAAGTAAGTGAGAAATGAGCTCTCGGGGAATTATCAAGGGGTCTCGAGTTGTGATTAACACCTTAACTCAGAAAGGATTGTCACATTAGCACATCTATGTCAATTAGACGGCGCCAAATGTTCTGACATTTGTGAGTAAGACACAGGAGAAAAAATAAACACCCCATAGCTTGTAGACCATACAAAAAGCTGTCTGTTTTCCACGGAGCTTGTGGTGGTTTGGTGGTTTGTATATTACAAAACGCAAGAATACATACGTTTTACATAGCGTGAACTGACCCACTTGATATAGCTCTGCTTTTCTGTACTTTTAAGCAAACGCAGCGTACAGAGTTGGGAAACGTGGGGGAAGAGGCGGTAATCAAAAGTAGAAGATCTTACAAGCTCATTCCGACGATACTTTATTCAGTTTGGAGAATGTACTAGGCCAACAAGATGTAAACTACTTAGATGCTTGTTTTGATGGAATTGTGCTTTCAGAACGAATCGTAAATCCTGTTTAACTGGCTGCAATAGATCATATCTGGCGCAGGCATTTAGGAACTGGCCATTAATTTGCCATTAACACTTTGATGTCAATGGAGTGTAGCGATGTTAGTGGATAAGATCAGCGAGACCAACCAATCTTCGCTCCAATAAACAAAACCAAAATCGGCACAGCGATAGTGAGCAAGTCAAGAAGGTGCTTGCACCCTGCAGCATTTTAACGTTTCTTTGAATGTTTTTTGGGGGGCAATTCAGTCTCAAACGTACAATTTCTGTTTGGAAATATTTCACCCCTAAGCATGTAATGTACAGATCTAAGCTCAAGAGTAAAAGACAACTGAGATTCCAGAAAACCATGAATAACGGACTTGCTATGGTGCAGATCGGCATATTTAAAGAAACTTACTGTCTTTATACTTTACCTTTGCTATAAACAATATAACACAGCGATTTCACAGACTGTCACGATTTAGCTGTTTCAGAAATTACGTTTTTCCGTGAAGTAGATCCGACAAAAAATGATATGCAGATGAAGTATTTAAAATAATTTTCTTTGATATACGAACATGCGTTATTCTCTGGAACAATTAGGAAAGATGGTCTGTGCTTTTCGTGGCAAAGACGTTTGCAGTGGAAAAGAGGCTTTAAAATCGAGACAAATTCAGCGCGTTGGCGATGGAATGAGAACAGTCTACAGCGCTAAGCAAAATCTCCTATAAGAACCAAACTAGCCCAATCAATTCGCCGTTCTTTCACTTGTCAAACATTTCAGCAAACATAAACAGAATAATTTGTACCAATTACTGTACCTGCTGAATGACTGCACAATTAAAGTAGGGTTTACCAAGGCCAAGTGTTGTGTAGTCTAGGTTTCCAATAAAAAAAAATAACACCATTGAGGTACACGTCTCGTTTGGAATCGTGTGTCAACTAGCTTTTGTACAGTTTTTTCTCGGTACATCATGAAACGTTCTGAAATATTTTCAGTGAAAAATAACGTTTTTGCAAAAGCATTTAACATTTTACAGAAATAATTTAGCCGGCAATGGGATTTCCATTTTGTAAACAACGAGTATGGGGTTTCCCAGCAGCTAAAGCAACTTAAAATAATAATGTTCAGACTTTTTATCTTTAAGAACAATCTAATGTCTTCGTGAGAAGGTGTACATAACTACGTTGTTTTTAAGAAAAAACGTGAAACCTCTTCGTTTTTTCTTGTGTGATGTGTTTGTGGATTTATAGTTAGGCCTGCGTTCTGCACAATCTAGCCAGAATGCGCTGTTTGCTTCAAACGTATAATCTTCAGACTTTCACAATCTTAAACTTAATAGGCGAGACAACTGAGGTTCAAGTATTGGCTTCAAAATGGGAGCAACCCAGTGTGATTGGTAATGATAGGTAATTAACTGTTTTCTTCCATTACTTCACGAGACGCGTGGGCATCTGTGTTAATATTGTTAGACTCTCTTATTTTAGCCGCGCGTCATTATTTGCACACACTATACAGTATTAGTTTATTTAAATAACGTACAGATGTAACGTCACCAGAAAATACATTTTAAAATTTAAAGGATAATCATCCTTGTTCTCTCTTGAATGTTGTGTGCGATTTCTTTTCACGAAAGGATACGTCGAAATTCCTAACTTTAATGTTTTACTTTTAGGCGCACAACTGCCTGTTCGTTTGGTTATATACAGTATTTATACAGTAGTTATATCTTTTTGGATAACATTCTTCAAGTAAATGTGTATACAGAGTCAATGTTTACGGACCCTGGAAATGTTTTAACTTTTTATGCTGAATGAGAGGAAAGAATAGATTACATTACGGTTATGAAATTGCGAATGACAGAAAGGGGAGTGTGTGAATCTTGTAAATTACACAGCTCGAAATATTATATATTTGAACTCGGCCCATATATTGCGAATTAAACTTCTCTGTATCCTTTCCTGGGCTCACGTCAATTTTACACTGACACTTCAAAGATGGCAAGAAACACCCTTCTGTCTACAGATTTAGTCAGTATCTCTGTCTAGGGATAAACCTTTTTATTAGTCTAGCTCCTTGCTGGCCGATAACACACCTATTACATATAAAAAAAAACAACAACTTTGTTTTAGCCCACATAAAAGTTTTGCAAGAAACTTTGTGTTGAAGAAGAAAAATCAATCAATAGCATTATTAGTAACAATATTTACACAGACACGTGGTAATAAAACATGCTGTTATTTGTTGATTTTAAGCCAGACATTCGGTTGTATTTGAACACAGATTGTGTTTTGTGTTTTTAGTTTACAGGTTCAAACATGTTGTGCAAAATAACTTCTTAGATTAATGCAGTTTATTTGTTGATGATCATATTGCATAGGCTACACAACAAAGTTATTTAACGTCGAACTCAGACATTATTACATATGTTTTTTAAAACGTAGAAGCGCCAAAAGGCCTCCATTAATATTGTGCGCAACGAACCCTTTGAACCAAAGGCTATAAATTCTATTCGGTTTAGACGGAAGTCAAATTATTTACAATTGTTCATTTGGTGATATAAGCTATGTGTAAAGGCACTGTCATATTGATCTTTTTTGCTGTTAAAATATTATTATTCGAGCTGTTTTAAAAATATGGATGTACACAAACCATAATTATTAAGCCGGTTAAACACTAAAGCGCTTTTAGTCTTAGGTTTTATGTTGTAATACGGGCTAATACGTTTTTTTTTAAACGAAATTATAGATGAAATGTCAGTGTAAATATTTTTGACTTTCCTTCTTCTTTATTAGGTTTAAGTACTAGAGTGGTGTACTGGCTGGTGCTCTGGACGTCGGACCTCTGTGGTCTTGGAGTCTAATTCCGTGTGAATTGTTGCTGTAGTATGCATGAGCTTGGTGCCTTAGGTACCAGGTTATCAGTTAGATTCCTCCAATTGCTTGTTGTTGTGAGCGTTTGCTTTCCGTTAACATACCCAGTGAAGTAGTGGAATAATAAAAAATAGTGTAATGACTAAATGAGGTAACAAGGTGCTTGGAGTCAACCAGTGTTAGGAAACAACTTAATTTAAAAACACAACATTTCTGTGTACCATATTCGTAGCAGACTTGGAAACGTGGTGTTATCAAATCATATCCGCATCTATTATATCATACCTACTTAAATATTTTATTATTTATGTCATTATTTATGTCATTAAGCGAAAATGAATAAGACTAGTGTATTGAAGCCTAGTTTTTCCGCATTTGTTTGTTCAGTTTTCTAAATTGATTACTGTAGACTATGCATGTTCCGTTACAAATTACTGATGTTATGAGCTCTTGATTTATCAATCATGACATTTCGGGGCAGATCATTAACAAAAAACTGATATCTGAATAAGCTATCTGCTAAGCGATTGTGCAAAAATGTCATGTGTTTTTTTTTTCTTTGGGTGTTCTTTAAGGTCTCATTATCTTTTTTTATTTACAGTGGTCTAAATGTCACAATAAACAACATTCCTAGACATCAACATCGTTAATTGCGAGATATTGTGTGTATTTAAGGTGATATAAATTCCGTAATGACTTGCTAGGATAAATGTCCGAAGAGTCCGAATATCGTTTACGATATGGCCTATTTCATATGTTTTCAGCAAAACGGAATGCCATGCAACGTTTCTTAACGAATCAACGACACTTCCTTTTATTAATGCTGCAAAATCGAATGTTGGAAAAACATGCACTGACCCACATCTTGTACGACATCACCACGTTTAAGAAGATGAGCGTTAAGGTGATACCGGAAATGTAGCTTCATACTTGTCCTAGGCTAGCACAATTAAAGTAATATAATTATTGTTATTGCTGTGTAGTCCGGCCGCACATTACAAGGTAAAACTAAAGTTAATGCGGAGCTAAAGGAGGAGGGGGCGGAAGAGGACGCCATCCTCATCCTCTTTCATCTTTGGTTTGTGATAAAGAGCCTTCGAGTTCAGAGCTGATCAATCCATCAAGGAGAGACTTTTCCTCTCTTCTCTGAAGTTTTATGGGAGTGATTTTAGGAGTGATTGATGTGAGTCAGGAGTGTGTCTGTGGCAGGACTGAGATTCTCTTGAGATTTGAAGTCTGGAGAGATTTAAGAAAACGTCTTCGCTCCACTTTAGAGTTCTCTTCCACAACATTGTTAAACAGCCGGGTAGGACATAAAGTATTAAAGAGAAGACACGTCTTTGTGGACGTTGATACATTCTCAGAAGAAAAACCTTCAATATCTTTGTCATCATGATGTAATTAGCTATGTGTTATCTTTTAATAATAATAATAATAATAATAATAATAATAATAATAATAAAAATTGTACTTCATTGCGAAGTGTAGCGAACATAATATTTTACCACTCTTATTTTTTTTTTGGAGAATAAAAAACTTTTCAGATCAATTGTTGATTTAACCATAAAGACTCAGATGCTATGAAATATTTGAAAATAAAAATTGAACCGCGGAAGAATACATCGGCGCAGCTCTGGAAATTCTGAAGGAACAACTGAGCCGGAGAGGGGAATTAATGTACAGTTTATAGGCTACACGCAGGTGTGTCCAGTTGTGAACATGCAGGGCCGGGGTTTCTGCGGATTTCGAAGTGATCTCTAAAGCCGCAGCTGGTGAAGAGCTCGGAGAAGATGTTAAATTGGTCCGGTAAAGTCAGTAAGCAACTGGTTTAGCTCAATACAATTCCGCAGACCCACAAACCCGCACCGGCCCTCCAGGATCACAACTGGGTAACCCTGGGCTACAGTGTATTCATGCTGTGATATTTTAAGTAGGCCTACCATCTAATGTGGGAATAGTGGGAATTTTTACTGGATTTAGTGGTTTTTCGTTCATCATCTTGAAAGGGCTAATATACAGTAATCTTTACCTGATAAACATTTCAAATTCAAGCAATATAAATTAGATTATTTTACTTTTTCTTAGCTTTTCAACGAGCGTGGTTACGTCAGTGCGGTATTGATTCAAAAAACGTTGAAGGATACCAAATGAAGCCTATCATGAATTATTATAATACTTTTTTATTGAACTAGATATTTAACTCGTAGGATAATCGGCGGGTGTTTAATTTTAAAGTAATTTTAAGTTAAATTATTAGTGAAAATAAAAAACGCTAGACAAATAGCCTTTTATCCATTTTCCACTGAAATTAATCTTGAAGTTAATTTTTTTAGTACTAGGTGTACTTAAAACAATATAATTTCTTAATTCAGCTTAATTACAAAGAGACTCAAACCGCTGCATAACACACTTTCAAAAAGTAGACTGGAGAGGTAAACTGGAGAGGAGCTTCACACGAACACCTAAACATGTTGGGTTATCAGAAATGATTAAAAAACCTTAAAAATCCTCATTTGTAAATGATTATATATGGCAAAATTGCAATTTTCCCCCAATTAATTGTACAAGTTTATAACTTTGTATTTGAAATGTCTATAGCGAGTGACCCAGTTCTGACTCCTGGTTTGTTGGTTTTTACAATCTCACCTTCAGCTTTTTCATTGATCAGTGGTGGAAGGGAAGGAGAGTGTTCTGTCAGCTTGCATCGACATGATTTACAGCAACGGTAAAATAAAGAAATGAACAAATACTTCCCCATGAATGCCGTGTCACAAACTTGGTATCAAACCATTTCGATGTTTGTCCTGAAGTGTAAAGTAATTCCTTCCACTGGCCGAAACTGGTTCATAAGGAGTTTCACACATACCTAATATGCACAAATATGCAGTTACTAGCTTTGCTGCTTTTCATCAGAATAATGCTGCATAACTAGTTTAAGATCGCATCACGTAAAAAAAGTTGCATAAGCATTTCGTGTTTCATTTGACAGCACAGCTGGGGAAAATGAAGGTTCAAAAACATCAACAGGGAGGCACAACTCTAACAAGTACCATGATCAATTTGCATAGCTGTCCTGGCAATGTGTTTTGCTGTGAGAAATTGATGAAACCTCCCAGAAAGGGCCAAATCTTTGGAAACACTTGATCTTTGTTGCACAACATCAACCATGTTCTAAAAAAACAGAAAATGGGGCTGTGGTTATTAAAAAAAAGTGGGTGGGTGGGGGTACTGAAATCTCTATATTGTTTTTCATGTTTTGTGTTAATATCATTATTGATTGCTATTATATACCTAGAAATGCTTTGGTATAATCATGTATTTTATCATGTTTTATTTAGCAAAGGTTTAGCAAAAATATAACTATTAAAAGCCGGTGTAGAGAACACATTTAACTGCTTCGCTTCTCAATAGGGAAACAAGTTACTTTCTCAGGTATTTATAAGTTGTAATATCTATAATTGTAATCCTATAATGTTTGGAATTATATACTTCTGCTCCTACACAAAATGCCTTTACAACCGGTCTTTGTTTGTAAGGGGAGTCTGCAGTCTTAGTTGTTATAAGTGTATGAACTATAACTGGTAGATGTGTTTTTTTCATTGTGAGTATGGTAGATGAAAATATGGTTTGAAATGTAATTCATAACTATTTAGCAAACTGAAGTTGACATTTCCCTTAAGTGATACATTTTAATCAGTCAGCAAACTAAATACGTTTTAAAAATATGAACAATGGTGATACATAACCATATGCTTTGTAATCCAATTGTTTCTTTAGTATTGTAACTCTTCAACTCATTGTGGCCCTTGAACTTTATTGTAGGTGTACAAAACATTGGAAAACAGTAAATAGCATGCCAGGCACATTAAAATGCCACAATGAAAGAAAAGGAACACGTGGTTATTACAACAATTTTTCTTAGAAATTAAATGTTTTTGCAAACACAAGCAAGTGCATAGGTATTCCTTTGATAAAATGCTGACTTTTGTATTGGAGGTGAAAGATGCAGTAAGCTAAGGAATAATACATTTTCTTCCTTATAAACATAATGAATCAACTAGTTACTTTCAATCACAGTTGTTATCATGCTGTACTCTATTATGAAAAGTATAAATTTTCATTTGGAAAAGTTTTTTTTTTTGGTCCAATTAGTCTGTAGTACAATGCAATGTGAACATCACAACTTGTCGCTTACTTTAAACAAATGTTGAGTTTTCATGCACGACATACAAGAAGGAACTAATAGTAGATGACAATTAACCACAAGAGTTCTAGGCAATAGCACGGCAAGGTCAAAGAAGAATAGAAATGATACCAAAGTTAAAATATGTTGGAATAAAGGAACAGAAAGGAGATAATGGAGTTGTATGGCCAGCTAGTGAACAGTCTGAAGATTAGGTTATCTAAATCACAGAATTATTACTGCTAGCATTGAGTATTAAGACAATAAGTGCTGTAGTTAGCGAGTTTGAATAATGGAAATAACATTAAAACGCTTCTCTTGTCCTTCATCCGGGCAGTTTGTAATGCAGACAGTTTGCCTCTGTCTCTGTCTAGATGATCAGCTGAACGCAGAGGAGAAGAAGAAGAGAAAACAGCGACGAAACAGGACCACTTTCAACAGTGGCCAGCTGCAGGCTCTGGAGAGGGTGTTCGAACGGACACACTACCCTGACGCATTCGTACGCGAAGACTTAGCTCGCAGAGTGAATCTTACTGAGGCTCGGGTCCAGGTAATGTACAGTATGCACAGGACTTGTCAAGCCATTAAAGAAGCTTGTTGGTCACATACCTCCTCTTTAAAGGGAAATCTGAAGTCGGTTACAGAATTAAAACAGTTGTCAAGTTATTTTCTGGATCCGATGCTGTTCCCGGACTACGATATAAAATATAGACCTTGATAAACCTATATACTGTATATATACCTTGTGTGGTTTGTTTAAAGCTAATACTAGTTAAAAACAAACCATAAGATTTGGTCTGACTGTCACTAGAGGTGCTGATCTCCTCAGAACGACTGCATTGTTCCAACATTGCATTACCTAATATTAAAATACTGTTATCCACACAGATGCTGTTGAATGAGGGCTATGATTTTGTTCCATTTTTAAAATCCTTGTTAATTGGAATTTTACAATGCAGTTTTCACTCTGCACACAGCAATACTAAGAAACGTCTCACTACACCTTCACACCAGTAAAAGATGTTGGAGTTGAGTCACTTAATATACTGGAGTTTTGTTCTTTAAAAAAAAGGCATTGGTACCCAAATAGGGGAGCAGAAAATCTTTACATTTGTCTCTGTATTCTTGTGTTTTCTTGTAAGACACTTAGGTTTCATTGCGTGTGAAGTTTGTGTATAAATGTTGTAAACATTTTGTATTTGCTGTACGTAGAGGGTGTGGCTAGGAGAACACCAACATATTTCTATTATCAAATTAATTTTCTTTTCAAAGGAGTTTAAATTGACATAGGTCAGTCCATTGTTCTAAATTTTCCATCCAGGATTAATCGTCTCTGTCTGTGAGTCAGTGCCCCTGTCCCATCCAACGAATATTTGCAAGTTTTTGCAGCAAGTATGTACTGTATTTGCTTCTTCTCCCAGCTTGGTGGTAACAGTGTGCTGTTGGCCTGCTCCCGCCGAATTTTTTCCAGGTGTGGTTTCAGAACAGAAGAGCTAAGTTCCGTAGGAACGAGAGGGCCATGCTCGCCAGTAAAAACGCCTCTCTCCTGAAGACCTACTCTGGGGATGTGACAGCCGTGGAGCAGCCTATTGTACCTCGTCCAGCCCCGAGACCCAATGACTATCTGTCCTGGGGTCCCACCTCACCCTACAGGTAACACCAGCACTCCGTGATTTACAATGTGCAGCTGGAAAAACACACCATCCGCTGTCTCTAGTTTGTTATTTCCAAATCCCTCCTTCTTATCTTTCTTGTCCCTTTATGTCACTCTTTGCCTCCTGTTCTGTTTATTTTACAGCCCTTGGAACTACCTCTGCTTAGCTCACACAAAGTTTAGTTTCGCCTAGGTTATCATCGTCTTTGTCTGTCACTCCCTCCCTTCCAGTTTTTTTCTCCTGCCTTCCCAGTTAATGCTGGAAATCTGAACGTAACATGGAAAAGGGACTTTATCTTCAAGGTTTTAGACATCTGCGTGACCCTCTCAGACAACCTGACGAGATACTTATTAAAAAATATATGTTTTTGCTTGCTCCAACAAACCTGATTTCTATGTAAGTTAACAATCAATGCGATTAAAAATGTATTTTGGGCAGGATTTTGTGTGACACTGGTATCGTTTGTTTGAATTTTAAAATCCTCGTGGAACTCAAAAGAAGATACAGAATAGTATAGTGTTGCTTTGGAAAAGCTGATTCTGAAGCAGTTAAGAATTTGTCAGTTGAATATATTTTTTTGGCACAACTACGTTCTACTTTTTTTCACATGACCAGAAACACAAAAGGGCGTGTGAAGCCATTAAAAAAAGTGAATGCAGGCATAACACCGCCATCATATGCTTACGATTTATATATTTTTAAGCTGGTATCCAAGTCCGGAAGGAGTGCCAGTGCGAGTATCACAGAAAATGCTGCCTTCAGAATGCAAGTACTTTTTGATTTTATTGATTGTTCTTCTGTGTTTGTTTTTTATTTCAATCCACCCCAGAGGTGTACGAAGGAGAAAATGTAGCTGCTTGATTGTAAAAGGAGGGTTCCCTTCTTTATCTGTATCTATATTTAGTACAGTAAACTCTCCCCTGTTTACTCTGGTGAAACCATTTAGTCCAGAAAGGCAACATCCTTATGGAGTAAAGATTCCTGTTGCACTTACAGGGAAACATTCATTCCTGAAATCTCATACATGTATAATACATGTTTAATGCATGTATACAACCCAGGTCTTTTCATGAAATGTACATTTTGTTCAACGATATTCAGAGTGCTCTTCAGACACTTGCCTTCTGTTTTAGCGCAGACTTTTTTCATATGAATAAATCTGTGTTGTTGTTTCTGATCCCTTCAGTGCCATGGCTACCTACCCACCCACATGCGCCAACACCAATACCACCCAGGGAATGAACATGGCAAATAGCATCGCTAACCTCCGCCTGAAAGCAAAGGAGTACAGCTTAAACCAGGTGCCCACAGTCAACTGATGAGACCGAGAAACGTTTTGGCACCAAGGGACTATTGCTCCACCAGTTTTCACAGAGAAGATGCTCCCCTGTACTTGCCCAGCGCACAACCCAGTTTGAGGCTGTGTAAAGAAATAACATCTCTTGGGAATTACAATCAGATATTCCTCTTCCTGGTGTGCTTTTTTTCTATTGATGACGTTTTTGTTTCAGATGTTAGAACCCACGGGACAATGAGAGACTGAACCGAATGTGAAACGATTGAAAACAACACAGTTAATCGATGAAAGATCAAAGTCCGTCCAACTTAGACATCAAAAATCCTGGATGCTGTATTTTGTTTTATAAATCTGGAAAGAACGCTAGCAACACATCTATTTTTTTTTCAGAGCCTAGCCATGGTTCTTTTTTCACATACACCAAAGGAACAATTCCAGTCCTCACCTTAGCCAGCAGCGCCTGAGCATTTAGCATTTTTGAGCATTTTTCGGAGACTTTAAATGGAAACTCTCACAACCTTTCCTCTGCATCTCCTGCCTATCCCGTTGGCTGCTCTCACCTCCCTTTGGATTAAAATATCTGACAAACATTACGAAATACACATGGGGCGCCCTCGGTGCTGAGAAGAACAATACAAAAGGATGATTTGTTTAAAAATATAGACTGGGAAATTTATAAACATTTTATATTGCTATTATTTTTATTTCATTTTTTCCATTTTATACCACTGACAAACAGATGCATTTTGAAATATATCATGTACATTATGCAGGCAAGCTTGTAACTCTGTTTGAGCAAACTAAAAAAAAAAACTTTCTTTTGAACATGAGATCCAATTGCTGTTTCTCTTTGTATACGTCTTTATTTGTAACTGATTTTAAATTTTCAGTACAATAAAATATGCAGTTCAAGCAATGTAGTTAAACCGTATTACACAGCTTCTAACTGGAGATGATCTTCAGTGAGAGGGAAACTTGCTGGCTTTGAAGTTTAGGTTATATCAAATTTATTTTTTTTTCTGTCGGCATAGAATGGTTTGTTGCTCTGTGTGTTCTGATTATTCACATTTAAATGCAACATCTCTACATGGGACTGTTGCTGGCAACAGTGATATGATGTGAGTGCAAATATACCATAAAAACAAAGGTTTTGCTGTTTTTTGTATAGCAATACAACAGTGCAGAAAAACACCATTACGAATAAATATTTCCACAAATGATGTTTTTTTTTTAAATTTTATTTTAGGAACAACGACTTAGTGGCTGAAAAGAATTTAATGGCCGAAAAAAAAGAATTTCAATTGCCTTCTTAACTAGAAAGTGAACCACCTGTAAATTTAGCAGAAGATTCACACTAAAGCACACGTTAGCGTGTCTGTCTGAGAACTGCCACTCTCTAAAAACAGCTAAGTGTTTCAATGTAAGGACAAAATGAACTGTATACAAGAGAGATCTGCCAAGCACATCTGAAGCAGCCCTACACCCTGTTTCCAAACTCCAACCACATTTCACCCCTTTCTGAAGAATTGATCTTTTTACACTAAATTATTTCAGATGAATGGGGTATTTCCTTTATGTGTGTGTGTACATGTGGGCACATATAGGGCTATGTGTACTGTTGTGTGTAAGAATGACTTTTTAACTGCTAGATGGAGTTCATATTTACCTTGGACGCTGGTTCAAATAAAAACTGTAATGATTTAGGAAAGAAAACTGTCATGGAATTTGTGCAAATACTGTAAAAGTGTTTTACTACCCCAAGATGGACTCTCTTGTGGCTATGGGCTTACTGAATCCACCTAGCTGTCCCAGGTCAAGCTTTTACAGATTTCGCTGAATGGAAATATTTATTTTAAAAACAACATTTTTATGATGCAGGAAATCCTTATTTCTTTTAAGTGGACCCTGTGGCCTCATTTGGTTTAAATGCCTCTGTAGTGTTATTTCTGCCTAATGTTCTCCTGATATTGCCACTTGCCTGTGACAGTTCATGCTTTCCTCAAACACCCTGATGTGAGCTGCTTGATGTTGTAAGCCGGCAGGGGAATTTGGTCTCCCTCTGCTTCATCTGGTCCTTGAAATGTTGGAGCAGCTGATCTCTTCAGTGGGCTTTGATCTCTGACTTGTATAACGTTCCCACTTGTCAGTTGCATCTTGCCTTTTCTTGATAAGCATCCCTATAAAGGTTTTTGTTCCAATTGCTACTTAAGCAGGAATACATGTTCTGTTGGGAATGATGCAGCAAGTATGTTTATCCAACACGCAGAATGGCTGAAATCTTCCTTAGAATGTCTTTAAGTCTTTAACGTTTTCAAAAGTAGGTGACAAAAGCAATCCTTTATTTTTCTCACAATCTAAACCATGATCTTGCACATTTCTGCGGTTTTATTCCCTTCCACAGAAAGAATGGCCACGTAAACTAAGAAGCGCGTTTGTGTCTTTATATACAGTATGGCACAAATGAAAGACACAGCAAGTCAGGAAAACAAAGTCATGATGTCTTTGAAGGTCTCATTGCTACTTTTCCCATGCTCCAAATTGTGTAGGCTTTCTCAGCATGAGGCTACAGCTGTCACTCTGGGGGTCTAAATTAAATTAGATCAAGTAGTAATCAGAAAGTGCCAACACCTTTCTCTTGTGTCTGGATGTGGTTTTAGCTACTACAGCAATTCTGCTTTGAAAGGAGTGTTTCATTTTCCCTGACAAACAACAATGAATGTGCACCCTTGTGAACATGACGCTGAAATTATTACAGCTGTACCGGAGGAGCTTCTGTTTGTAAAAACTGACCACATAATTTCTGTGCAGCTTAAGCCTTATGTTTCCCTAAGGAGAAATGTGCAGGTCAGCTTTCGGGTGTGAAACCATCTTTTTCCAAATATTGTTGTGATGCTGGTAGAGATCAAAGCTATAATGATAACTTTGCATTACATGTATCATAATACATCCAGCTAAATCATTCTTGCCAACAATGGTTGTCTATGTTGAAAGTGAATCAGGAGGCTGGGTTTGTTATAAATCTGTGAAGTATTGTGTTACTCTGTCAACACAGAAAACTAGCAGGCAAGCTCAGGTTCTGAAGAGTGGTACTGGAATAATGGTGCTGTTACCATTAAAGAACATTCTAGGTTTGGTATTCTATTTGAAGATGTGGGGAACGAAAAAAATAATTCTGCATCCTACCAGAATGAAATCCTCTACTTAGTAGAGTACTTGACAAAACAAGCTTATAGACATAAAATATGTCACACAGACATAAAATTAAAATGGACATTTTTGTGTAAAAAGCATTTATATATTTTGTGTAAAATAGTTTATCCCTCTGGTAGACTTAAATTAAGTGTACTTTTGGTACAAGTCATCTAGCTTAAACCTACAACCCTCCATATATGCCTGGTATAACACGTACTGTACTTTCTCTGTTTCTGAACGTCTATACATTCAGTGTCTTTGAAATTAGCGATGCACCTCTCTTCAGGGCTCTTAAAGTACAAATTGTGTTGGCTGTGCCCAATTAAAACTCAGCATCGAATATCCGGTTAACATTATTTTTCTCACTTCACATCCTTACAGAAATAAGAACACGTGAAAGGTTAAAAATCCAGCCCATCTAGTCCATATCGTAGTTAAATGATCCAAGAATCTCTTCCAGCCATTCCTTTAAAGAAGCCAGGGCATCAGCTTCAATAACACGGAGAGCATAACTTTAAGTACTGGCAGATCTCTTCACTATAAATTTATAGTCACATTATATGACCTGAAAGTGTGAGAATTTGTGTGTGCGATAAAAAATGCATTACTATGAAATACATTATATATAGATATGCATTCCTCCCTGGGAAACATATTTGTGAACAATCATAAGTGGCATACACTTTGCTGGTGGAAATAACATTTTTACTGCCAGATCCATATAAGGTTTTACATTTTTAACTTGCTATAAATCTCCAGCAAATGCTAAAACAGTGACGCTTTCATTCTGCTTTTTACATTTACGGTTGCTTCTCATTAGAAAGGAAGTCTTTAAAGTCCAGTGAGCTCATATGCCAGACCAGTTTAAAATTAATTTAAATGATTATGACACGCAATGAATTTGTAAGTGATACTATTTGGTTATGGGAATATTTGTTTTTTTCCATTTGTAATTTTTAGTATTGTATGTCCTGATAGGAATTTTTATAATGCCTTTAAATTGACTTAGAAACACAAGTTCACCGACAAAACCTTCCAGTGCCTTTTTGTCCCAAAAAGTTTTGTCATTGCCTTGAGATGGATGTGCCAGAGGTACCTTTTCAGTTTTGGCTTCAACCTCAACAGGAACGTTATTACATTCCTGTACCTGAAAGCAAAGGCAGATAAATGCTTTGAAATATAAAATAAGGTTATACGAAGCAATATCACTTATAAAAATATTTAAAAGATCCTACAGGGTGACAATCCATTTTAAATGCCACTCAATGCTCTATCTGAAATCAATACTTTGCCGATTGTGATATTTGTAGATCTGTTCTCTTTGCCAAACCTTATAATACAAAATTATAATTTCCCATACAAAATTGTTTGAAAAAAGGCTGGTTAGAAAGGTGTGAAGTGTACATTAGATGTGAAAATATACAGAGAGAGCCATTTTGTTTTTAAGGGGCTCACGAGGAAAGCTTGTGAGAGTATAAAGGAAGCAATCGACTACATAAACAGGAAAACAATCAAGTGACTTGGGTTGTGTATGTTTTATCTGTCACAGGCTTGCTTCAGGACAGGGCTTTATCTGAGTGGGGGGTAGTCTCTCTGTGTACCAGCAGCAAGAATGTCCTCCTGCTAGATCCTCGCTGGGTTCGGAGCAGTAAAATGTAAGTCCTTTCCCCCGTGGGGAGGTGAGTGGTTAATAAAGGCTGTCCCCAGTGTGGATCATCTCCTGTCTTGCTCGCCGGACTCCTGTCTCACCTTTCATGGTCAGGTCTGGTGACCTGGAGTGTTTCCAGATGTGCGTCGCTCCTGACCCCGGCCACAGCCCTCCATCAGCCCTGACGGCATCCCCCTCGGAGAGCCGGCACCTTCCACTAGTGGATGACATGCAAGGAGTTCACCTCTTCAACTCCACATCTGGAGCCCATTAGCAGTGAGACAGTTATAAAGAGTCTAGCTATGGAACTCAGATTCAACACGGCTCCGAGGA